CTGGATGGACAGATGGGGAGATGGGGTCCATCCCGCTTGTCCCCTCCCGGCGACGGGGTTTCCGTCCCCCCCAAACCGCGTGGTGGGGGCAGTGAAACAAACTTGGTGGCGCCGGCGGGGGGGGGAAATCAACACGCGGGTTTTAAGGACCGTTTTAGTGCCATTATTGCGATGTTTTTTCCCTAAAAATTCCCTTCCCCTCCCCCTTCCTCACTGCTTGCCCACGTGACTTCTCACCTCCTGAATGGTGGGTGCCAACCGTGAGCACGTGGCCGCTATGGAAGGGCTGTGTTAGCCATTGGCCACATCATGGGACCTCCCCAAGTCTTTGCGATGACAATAGGTGTCATCAGGACCAAACTATGTCCCCGTGGCCATCACAGACAAGCTGTAGTAGTCCTTGAGCCACGTCATTGGTCCTTCTCAATTCTTTGTGTCCACCTTCAGCCCCAATGCCATCTCTGTTTGCCCACATGGCTTCCCCATGAGCCAACGGGAGGCACCTGTGGGGCAAACCCACGTCCCCATTGGCCACATCATGGGCCCTCCTCAAGTCTTTGTGTTGGCAATGGGCTCCAATGGGGCCAAACCACATCTCTGTGGCCACCACAGTAGGGCTGTAGTAGCCATTGGCTGTGTCATGGACCCTTCCCAAGTCTTTGCATTGGTGATGGCCACCAAAAAGGCCAAACCATATCCCCAGGGCTACCACAGAAGGGTTGCAGTAGCCGTTGGCCACATCATGAGTCCTCCCCAAGTCATTGTGTCCATGTTTGTCCCCAGTGCCGTGGCTCTTTGCCTACATGGGTTCCCCACAAGCCAACAACGGGCATGGATGGAGCCAAACCACGTTCCTGTGGCCACCACGGAAGGGCCATGTGGAGTCATTTGCCACATCATGGGTCCTCCCCAAGGCTTTACATTAATGGTGAGTGCCAATGGGGCCAAACCATGTCCCCGTGGCCACCAGAGAAGGGTTGTAGCAGCCACTGGCCATGTCGGGGCTCCTCCTGAAATCTTTGTGTTGACGATGGGTGCTGATAGGGCCAACCCACAGGCACGTGGCCATCACCAAACAGCTGTAATAACCACTGGCCACATCACAGATCTTCCTGAAGTCTTTGTATGGACGATGGGCACCAACAGGGCCAAACCACGTCCCCGTGGCCACCACGGAAGGGCTGTAGCAGCCACTGACCACGTCATGGATCCTCCATGAATCCTTCTGTTGATGATGGGCACCAGCAGGTCAAACCACGTCCCCATGGTCACCACAGAAGCACCATCATCTGCTCTGCCACCTCCTCCCCTCTCCTTGGGGAGCCCCTCAGAGCCCCCGGTGCATCGCCAGGGCTGGACTGGGTCCCCGCTCAGCTGCATGGAGGTGGCGGTGACGAGCGAGGTGGGAGCCGCGGCTGAAGGTCTTGGAGCAATCGGAACAGCGGTAGGGCTTCTCGCCGGTGTGGGTACGTTGGTGCTCGAGCAGACGAGCGCTCT